CCCCAAAACCCCAAAACCCCAACCCACAATAATTGAATTAGGAATTTACATGTAGTTGATAAATTTAAAATTCAAATAAAAGAACAAATTTACTTAAAAATATCGATTCATAAATGAGTAATTAATATGGTTCATCATACGGAAGTAATTTCAACTTTCTTAATTAACTATTTGGCAGGAAGCAACACTGTTTGGGGGAATAATAATAATAACAGCAATTAAAATAGCAATAATGGAAATTTAATGTTCAATCAAAACAATAATCTTTTTAGAAGTTAATCAAATGTGAACAACTATGGAAATAATAATCAAAATTCAGGAGCGAATAATCTCTGGCCTAAGCCATCTGGCAGTGTTGTCGGAGGAAATAATTGGAATAACTGGTCTAATGGAAACAACAACAATATCAATAACTCCTGGAACAACAATGGAAATAAGTAAGTTATCCCTTCTCATTTAGTGATTATTGATGATTGATATCATTTGATATGATTGTTTTCATTAATCTGTCTACTAAATTGTCAAATTAATTGAATTAAAATTATTAATTTAATTTCATAGTGGAATGAGTAACAACAATTCATGGAACAACAATGCTAACAACAACAATGGACTCAGACAATCTACCTTGAACTTTAACAGTGCAGGAAATAACAACAATAATCAGAATGGACAAAATAATGGATGGGGGAATAACAACATTAATAATAACAATGGCGGCAATAATAATACTTGGGGAAACAACAATAATGGCTTCAATCAAAGCAACTAAAATAGGAACAATGTTTCTCCAACTAAGTCTCTCAACTTGAATTCCTCTAATGCATGGCAAAATAACTCCAACTAGCCCAAGTTCAATGGTTTTGGCTCGAACAATAATCAGTTTGGTCAAAATAATTTTTAGACAAATTCTCAGTTCGGAAATAATAACAATAATGGTTTTAACAACTAAAATAATAATAACAACAACAACATGTTCAATAGACCATCGAATGGGCCTAGTAATTTTTCGACAGGATTCAACAACCAGCAGAATCCTACTTTGAATCTCAATATCTATGGAAATAATAACAACAACAACAACTCTTAGTTCAGACCAACAGGAACTCAACTAAATTTTAACAGTTCCAACAACAATAATTCATAGTTTGGTAGATCAACTAATTTTACTGGCTCAAATTCGAGTAATTCTTTTAACAATGGCTTTCAATCAACTCTTAAGTTTGGATAAACTGGTACTAATACTTGGGGATAGCAAGGAACTGGAGGCTTCAATTCTGGCTCTAACTTCAATATGAATTCAGGTGGCATGAACAACAACCAGAATAGTGTCATGAACTAGAATGCCTTTAATATTCTGCAGTAGATGCAGAGATAGCTGACGATTCCTGAATTCTAGAACAAAGATTTCAAAGAGAAACTCTAAGACTTGAAAAGAAGTATTGAAGATCACATTTGCTCCGCCTAATTCGGCAAGTTAAACTCTAATGACTAGGGGAGAATTGCTGAGTCTAATTACATGATGTTTTGCAACACATTAAATGAGTATATGGACTAGGACAAAAAGTCAAGATATGGAGGACTTCTTGGTAGAGGCTAATACTATGATTAAGATAAATAACATAGATTCCACAAGCCCATGCTATACATTAATAATCCATTGAGAAATTAATCATTGAGTGTATTAAGCTAAGATAGCTAAAAATTTGGAATATTACTCTACAATGAACTTAAGCAATTGAAAACTTTTTCAAATGAATAAATTGATATGATTAAAGAACAAGAGGACTTAACAAAATAAAGAAAAAATTTATTGGAAAAGGTAAGAAACAAAACTAATAACTCTGCAATAATGGCTGAGAAAAGTTTGACTTAGATAATCAAAGAGGAAAAGAGAGCTAGTAAAATATCTAAATTCATCTTTGATCAAGATGAGCTTAGATATCTAAATGAGTTGATGAAAAATACCAACCCACTTTATCTTTATGAGGAAAATGTTTTTGAAGAATTAAAGTTCAAAATTCCTTTTGACTAATGTTTAAAAATGATGGGTGACGTTGTTGAATCTTGTGACAAGTACACAGAACTCATAGCGCAGAACAAGTATTTAGTAGATGAGCAAGTCAATAAGGAGAAAATGTCTGATGAAATATAAATGAGTGACATAGCTGATGAATCTAGTCCAGAGACTAAGTATGGCAACTACATCTAGATAATATAAAATGCCACATAAAAGGAGAATGAATTAGGATTTATTCTCCAAGAATAATCCTATGATATCAAGAGAGAAAGAGATTTCCTAATTTAAGGTGTAGTAAAGAAGCGTAGAGCATCATCAGTAAAATATGGTCAAAGAGAAATTACAATCAAAGAAGCTTAAGATGAATTCGAGAAACAAAAAAACTTAATGCAAAAAGAGATAATGAAGAATGCTAATGTTTTTCAAAGAAACAGGTCTGTTGAACTACTGACAAAACTTAACTAGGACAAATAAAAAGCAGGATAAGTATCTGACCAAAACAAATTACATTTTAAGGATGATGTTGTTGATTCAGGTCTTATTGATATTGGAGTTAGACTCAGAAAAAGAGAGAGAGATAGGTCTAATAGGGATTATGATAATCTAGCAAACAGAATGAGAAGAGTTTATATTGATGAAAATAGTATTGATAGAAATAGGGATAACATTGAAAGAAGAGAATAAAGTTTCATAGGACAAAAACTCAGGTAGCAAGGCTTTACAGATGATAGAGGTAGAGCAGCAGATGAGGGTTATTACACTCAAAGAGTTGGAGCAAGAGATCAAAGTGCTAATCGAGGTTACTCTCAAATTGCCAATCAAAATCATTCTATTGTTAACACTTCAGCATAAATGAAGAGATATGATAGAAGTAGATTGCAAACTGACATGAGTAATGTAACTCCCTACAAGAGTAGCAATAAGAGAACAATTATGAACAATAGACTATTCTGAAATTCCAAGAATTTATATTTCGTATTATAGATAATAATTGATTGAATATTTAATTTCATTAATTCAAAATGTTAATAACAAATTGTACTAGCGGGGTTTTGGGGTTTTGGGGTTTTGGGG